GTAACCAGGCGGCCCGAATGGGCCGCCTGGTTTTTTTATACGGGGAGACTTGTATCTTTAAGGGAAGTTCTGATGTGAATAAATGTTTTATCATACTTAATATACCGGGTATAAAAATGATCTGCAAAAAACAGTGTTTCGCTTTTGGGGCAGCGCTCTTGCTGACGATAATAATGATGGCGGCTTGCCAGAAGAAAGAGGCGGCTGCTCCTGCCCTGAAAACAACGGCATATACCGCGCATAAAGAGGAAGAGGACGCCGGGCGGGCACATAATTATATCCTGGCGCAATATGAAGATCAGTTCGGACTTACGATCGGCAATGAAGCACCCTCCGTTGCCGACGTGAAGGAGATTATTAAAAACTGTCTGTCGATCGGTATCCGCGAAGGGCATTTTGATCCGGACATTTATACAACGGTTTTGGCAGATACGCCTTTAACCGATATGATCGGCATGGGCTATTTTGATGGTGACGGGCGGCTGAAATCAACTGAAGAGATCGTTGCTATTAACCTTTCTATGATTACCAACAGCGATATCCGTGATGCATTAACATTGATCAGTTATTACGAAGGAGATGAAGCTTATTTTATCGCTTTTGCAGATAGTGTGTTGGTAGGTCTTACCGGCTTAAGCACGCAGGAGCAGCTGATGGTCAACGGATTTAAAAGTGTATTAGCCGCCTCCCATATTTTCTGGACGGAAAGGCAGGAGGAGGGAGCCGCTGTATCCAATATTGAGAAGATTGCCATCGCGGATGCATGGGGATTTGCTATCGGCTGGAACGCAGCTGTAGACCAGGGGTACTGGTATCTGGCGGAGCCTTTTGCAAAATATAAATCTGCACAAATGTCCATTTCAGCAGCGAGGAATATGATAAAATAAAATTTGCTTAATTTCATTGCATAATGGGTGCGAAATGACGGCTTTATTAATGGATATGACAGATGCGCCCGGAGGGATGCGGCAGATGATAGCAGATGCCCGGTCGGAATTTTTGGTGGCATTGCCCTATCTGAAGCTTATGTTCTGGACCGTCTGGTCGGGTACTTTCGGGGTCGTGGTTTGGGCCCTTAGCCGGCATTTCAAAAGAAGGCCGGTTTTCTGAAACCGGTAAATAAACAGGATACTGATTTTAGGGCTGTAGTGCATTCATGCCGCAACTCTTGCTTTATAACCGCTCCTCTTTTCATAATCGGTAATTTTTTCATGACAATAGGCCAATAGCGGGCATTTGAGGCGGTGCCGCAAGGGAAACAACCTGTAAAACCGTTACTTTTATCGCAGGATTTTATACCTGTATACAAATGGCCATAAAAGACAAACAGAACAAAGCCAGCCTGCTGGTGGTTGAAGATGAGGAAAGCCTGCGGGAAGCGCTGAAATTAAACCTCGAAATTGAAGGATATGAGGTGACTACCGCCGATAAAGGACCGGAGGTATTAAAATTGGTAAAGAGTGAGTTCTTTGATCTGATCATCCTGGACATCATGTTGCCGGAAATGGACGGTCTTACCATCTGCGAAACCATCCGCATGCAACACAATCATGTGCCGATCCTCTTTCTCTCTGCCCGTAACAGCGGTGCCGACCGCGTAGCGGGTTTAAAGAAGGGCGGAGATGATTATATGACCAAACCCTTTAACCTTGAAGAACTATTATTGCGGGTAGATAAGCTCATCTCCAAGAACCGGAAAATACGGGAGCCACAGACCGTGAGCGACAGTT